GTTGACATGTTGTGGGGTTGTTAACCAATGTCATAAAACAATATGTGTACTACTGTTTCATGAGAAACTATTTGTTCTGTAAGCCTTCACCTGAAGTACTATTAAAAAAAATTTAAATATTTTTATTCTTTGATAGAAATTCTGTCATCAATGAGGAATAGACTTTGACCAAATATTGATTTCAACATTCAGTCCATTCCACATTCAGCCAAAATGTCTTTTTGGTGCATCTAGGGTAGATGGATGGATGGATGGGTAGGGAGGTAGAGAGGTAATACAGGAATGTGTGTGCATGTGTAAATGTAAAATTCCAGTATTGGCAAAGGTGCAGAGAAAATGGTACTTATGTGTTTGTCGTGGCTTCTTATATAGGAACAATACTTTGGGAAAGAAATTTGGTAATAGATCTCAAAAACATACTTTTTGGCCCAGACATCCCAATCATGGAAATTTATCCCATAGTAATAGCGGATTCAAAACCATGAAAGATCAATATGCATGAAGGTATTTACTATATCGTGATTTTCAATATCATAAAATTGGATATAATCTAAATATCCAAAAATTGGTGTATGATAATGTATGCATCTTCTTCTATTTGGAGTAGTCATCATCACTTATGTTTCTGCTTAGTTAATTCTTATTGGCCTTGAGATCCCAATTCTAATGTCACTTCCTCAGAAAAGCCTTCCCCAACTGTCCAATCAGAATAAAGCCTTCTTGTTATATACTATTACATAGCATGTTCTTTACTGCAGTTCATACTTAATATAATTTTATGTGTTGGGCTTATTTGATAAACATCTACTCTCCCCCAGTAAACAGTACATTCCATAAGGGTAGATACTATATTTTGCTTACCATTGTATTTTGGGGGCACACAATAGGCACATAACAAATATTTATTGACTGAATTAATTAAATAGTATATTATAAATAAACATTACATGATAAAATGCTAGGGGGAGAAGTATACAGGATTTCATATGTTTATCATGGAAGAAAATAAAATAGGTATGTTTATGCATATATATGTATGTTTATGCTGCTGTTGTTATGTACAACAGAATGAAACACTGCCTGGTTCTATGGATCCTCACAATTGTTGTTATGCTTGAGCACACTGTTGCAGCCGCTGTGTCAATTCATTTCACTGAGGGTCTTCATTTTCGTTGACATTCCACTTTACCAAGCATGATGTCCTTCTCCAGGGACTGATCCTTCCTGATAACCTGTCCAAAGTATGTGAGATGAAGTTTCACTATTCTTGCTTCTAAGGAGCATTCTAGCTGTACTACTTCCAAGACAGATTTGTTCATTTTTCTAGCAGTCCATGGTATATTCAATACTCTTCTCCAGTACCATAAGTCAAAGACATCGATTCTTCTTTGGTCTTCCTTATTCATTGTCCAGCTTTTGCATGCATATGAGATGACTGAAAATACCATGGCTTCGGGTCAGGCACACCTTAGTCCTCAAAGTGACACCTTTGCTTTAAAGAAGTCTTTTGCAGCAGACTTGCCCAATGCACTATGTCATTTGATTTCTTCACCGCTGCTTCCATGGGCGTTGATTGTGGATCCAAGTGAAATGAAATGCTTGAAAGCATCAATCTTTCCTCCATTTATCATGATGTTATTTATTGGTCCAGTTGTAAGGATTTTTGTTTTCTCTATGTTTAGGTGTAATTCATACTGAAGGCTGTAGTCTTTGATCTTCATCAGTAAGTGCTTCAAGTCCTCTTCACTTTCAGCAAGCAAGGCTGCGTCATCTGCATATCGCAGGTTGTTAACGAGTCTTTTTCCAATCCTGATGCTGCATTCTTCTTCATATAATCCAGCTTCTCGCATTATTTGCTCAGCATATAGACTGAATAAGTGTGGTGAAAGGATACAACCCTGACGCACATCTTTCCTGGCTTTAAATCACGCAGTATCCCCTTATTCTGTTCGAACAGCTGCCTCTGGGTCTATGTACAGGTTCCTCACGAGCACAATGAACTGTTCTGGAATTTCCATTCTTCACAATGTTACTCATAATTTGTTATGATCCACACAGTTGAATGCCTTTGCATTGTCAGTAAAACATAGGTAAACATCTTTCTGGTATTCGTTGCTTTCAGTCAAGATCTATCTGACATCAGCAATGATATCCCTCATTCCATGTCCTCTTCTGAATCCAGCTTGAATTTCTGACAGTTTCCTGTTGATGTACTGCAATCATTGTACTGCAATTATCTTCAGCAAAATTTTACTTGTGCATGATATTAATGATATTGTTTGATAATTTCCACATTCTGTTGGATCATCTTTCTTTGGAATAGGCACAAATATGGATCTCTTCCAGTCAGTTGGCCAGGTATGTGCATATTTGGCATATGTACAATAGATCAGTATAAGTCAGAAATATGAAAACAGTTTTATTAGGATGATAGTTATGTAAATAATATTTCCCATAAAATTTCTTTGAATGTCCTCATAGCATTAAATTATTTTCAAGTTATATCTGAACCAAACAAGTAATGCCCTAGTTTTTAAATAGTCTCCTTAGTTTGAGGAAATAGTGCTCATAGATATATGATAATTTATCCAGAATAAGGTAGCAAATGTGCTTTGGAATTATAACAGTTTCCTTAAAAAAAAAAAAAAAGACATTAACAATAAAAAGCCACACAAACTAATATAACATGAAAAATTTAAATAGAAATGAAAGCTATAAATTAATTCATATGTTGCTTCATCAAACCAGTTTTTTAATGCAAGCAAGCAATGAAAATGTTTATAATGAACTCTATTATTTGCACCTCTTTAAAGTGTTAAAAAGCAAAGGATATCACTTTGAGGACTAGGGTGCACCTGACCCAAGCCATGATATTTTCAGTCACCTCACACGCATGCGAAAGCTGGACAATGAATAAGTAAGATCAAAGAAGAATTGATGCCTTTGAATTGTGGTGTTGGCAAAGAATATTGAATATGCCATGGATTACCAGAAGAATGAACAAGTCTGTCTTGGAAGAAATACAGCCAGAGTGCTCCTTGGAAGTATGGGTGGCGAGACTTCATCTCACATGCTTTGTACATGTTATCAGGAGGGACCAGTCCCTAAAGAAGGACATCATGCTTAGTAAAGTAGAGGATCAGTGAAAAAGAGGAAGACTCTCAAGGAGATGGATTGACACAGTGGCTGCAACAATGGGCTCAAGCATAACAACAACTAGGAGGATGGCACAGGACTGGGCAGTGTTTCATAGGGTCGCTATGAGTCAGAACCAGTTCAATGGTACCTAACAACAATAACATTATCTGCACAAGAAGGAAACACACTGCATGAATAATCCTAAACCATACATGGTTCTAAAATACCGTGCACAATCACTTCACATAAAACCCTTTCACATATAGTCTAGGTTCACCTTTTCTTAGCTCAGGCCATGTTTGGCAAAAAAGGATATTCTGGAAAACAGGATTCTGAAGGCATATTTGTATGTTGTTAGAGAAAGAACCTTACATCAGGTGATAATCCATTGGCACTTACTAGCAATTTTTATTTTTCAGATTAAGTTTGAAATTGTTGAAAGCCAATGAAATGTATATCTTTCCAAAACTAAAGTTGAATTTAGACCTCATAGGGTTGTTATGAACATTGAACGAGTAAGGCATATAAAGTATATAGCACAGTGTCTGGCAGCTTTCAAAAAATATTAGCAGTTGTTCTCTAATATTAATCATTGGAAGAGTCTAAAAACTATTTAGAATATCAAATATTTTCACATTTGCCGTGTAAATATTATTATATTTCCTAACAATTCAATTTTCCCAAAGTAGAAAAAAACACAACCTCTTACTTTTAGTTGTATAGAAGCAGAAGCTGATTTTTTTGCTTCAGTTAATGTGTGTAATTGTTGATAGTCTACTGGTTTGTACTTGATCCTTCTTATCCCATTTTTCATATGGAATATCAGATTGTCTATTTTTCATGAAAAACAAAAAAATGACAAAGAAATTGTATTATGTTATTGTCAAATATAGTTATGGCAACATGTTGACCTCAGATCTTATTTTTAAATATTTTTAAACAAATATAAGAAATAATATAACATTCATAACATTATTTTAACCTCTATCTCTAGAAACTCTTAAAATATGACACTACCACTATATTCTTTGCACAAAATTACTTCTAAAAGGGCATAAAGATACTTTTATTTAAACTAGTATATTGACAATTTTAGAAAATTATAATGCCAAGATACTGTTAAGTCATTCTTTTTATATAAAATGTATTAGATATCAACTGTAAATATTTAAGTATTACATTGTTATGAATCAAATTAAGTAAACAGATTTATTATGCTAAAAGTATATGTAACAAAAATTTTCCAATTCAACAATTTTTACATGCACAATTCAGTGACGTTGATTACACTCACTATGTTGTGCAACCATTATCACTAACCTTTTCCAAATTATTCCACTACCATTAACAGAATTTCAGTGCCCCGTAAACAATGACTCATCTTTCCCCTTCCCTTCCACCCTTGGTAACCACTAATAAACTTTGGTCTCTATATGTTAAGGAGACCTGGTGGTGCTGTGGTTAAAAGCACTTGGTTGTTAACTGAAAGGTTGGGGGTTCGAACCCACCAGCCACTCCTCAAAAGAAAGACGTGACAGTCTGCTTCCGTAAAGATTTTAGCCTTGGAAACCCTATGCAGCAGTTCTACTCTGTTCTGTAGGGTCACTATGAGTCAGAATCAATTCAACAGGCACAGGCTCTATATATTTGCCTATCTCATGCAATATTTCTCCTTTTATGACTGACTAATTTTACTCAGCATAATATTTTCAAGTTTCATCCATGTTGTAATATGTATCAGGAACTGGCAAATCCAACCATGTAACCAGAAAATGAGCTTTCCATTATTAAAATTTTGAAAATCAACATTCCAGTTTTATATCATATCAAAAGTGCATAATCCACTCTAAATCATAAAACTGAGCTGGAAGTAAAAACAATACCTGAGCTATCATTTCTCTGAATTGTCATGAATGGTGGGTCTCTTTTATTCATGTTTTCTATATCTGTCAAGAAAATAAGAAACAGCCAAAATGTCACAATGTTATTCTTAAAGCATTTTTGAACATGTGTTAATTGGAGAGTTTTTAAGGCTTAGGACTGGGAACCATAACTTATTGTATTTTATTAAAATTTTTCTGTTCTTTGCTCCTAGAAGCCTCCCTCTGTTATTTTTTTCTCCTGTGCTTTTTCCTGTTCTTGGTCTCTCCTTCTAGTCTCTTCCCTCTTAATTCCCCTCTATTGTATTGTCCCAGTGACTGATAAATATTTTGTGATTAGAAAGTCATGTATGTTTTATCTTGAGTTCATGGCTGGAAAGAAACTATATAAATTAAAGACTAAAGCAACTGGCCAACTTACTACTTCCATTAAGCAATACAGCACTTGTACTAGACATGGAGATTCAGTCTAGGTCCCTCTTCTAGAAAGGACTTGCCATCCAGCTGTGAGGAGTGAGGTCTGCAGACAGACTCCAGCTGCCACCTCCTTCAGGGTCAGCCTCAGCTGCAGAAAGCAGCCTTGTCAAAGCATACTCAGTGACTGAGCAAGGTAGAGGTGTAAAGGCCCAGTGCTTTGGGCCTAACATGGGACACTCTAATGGGTAATATTTGCACCAGAGCTCCCCGACAGGTTGCCCAAGACTTTGTTGGACTTGAATTAAAATCGATTTCTTCATCTCCCAATCCTGCTTCCTCCCTGTTCCGTCCTCAGGGTGGGTCGGTGCTAAACATCTTGCAGCCTACTTAGTGCCTATTTTCTAAAAACTCAACCTATGACAGCACGAAACAACTGAAATTTCTCCAGAAACACATCATCTCCAAGGCAAACAGACTAGAACAAGTGGTTCTTTAAGTAACAGTACCCATTTATTCATAAATGTTTGTTCCATACCCATAAAGTTGAACTACCCAGGGAACATGTCTAGTGGCCTTTGCAATAATCTTAACTTTTTTAGTGGAAGAGAAAGGAGTAAAAGTCTATGACTTTTGGAAACTCTGTCAAGTTACCAAGAATCTTGGTAATTGTCCACCAGCTTTAGGAATAAAGGGATAAACTCCAGTGTACAATTTCTACAGAGTCTCTGGCAAGGGAGGTCTTCTGTCAAGCCTTTAATAATATTGGCAATTCCTCCTATAGGCTGGTTTCTACTGACACTCATATCCTATCCATTAACTGGACCTACTGATTCTTCTTCCAAAGTTCTGTTGAAGCTGTCTACTTCCACTGCCTCTACACAAGTGGAGCCACCATCACCTCCCGCCTGGCTGGCAAGCCACCAACAGCTCCAAATTATCTGTTTCCACTTTGTACCCTTACAGTCCATTCTCCACACAGCAGCCAAAGTAACATTTCAAAAGCTCTAATCTAACATTGCTTGAAACTCTTCAGTAGTTTTCCATTACCCTTTAAAACAGTCTCCAAACTTCTTGAAATGGTCTATAAAGCCTGCATGACCTCACCTAGGTTCATCTGTCCACCCTTGTCTCATTCACGTATTCCATCTACACTGGTCTATTTCTAAAATTCTCCAAGTTCATTTGACCTCAAGGCCTTCCCACTTCCTGTTACCTCTGCCTTAAAGATGCTTCCTTTCTCTTTATACCTGGTTGGTTCCTACTCAGCCTTCAGCTCAGTCTATACGTCAGCTCCTGAGAGACATAACTTCCAAAGCAACCACCTAAAAAAACAGGACCCCTTGTTATTCATTCTCACCCTATTCTTTTCCTTTCTATGATAATTAGCACCACTCTTCACTTGCATGTTTATTGATTTTATGTCTTCTTCCTCCATTAAGCATGTAGGGCCGTGTCTGTCTTGTATCCAGTCGTATCCCAGTGCCTAACCCATCAAAGAAGGTGTTTAATAAATACTCACTGAAGAAATAAATACAAGGTATCTGGCAATAGTTGCATGTCTTCTAGCCCTCAGAAGAGCTGCCATAATAATTCCTAAGTCCATACTATAGCCTTCCTCTTCCCACCATAACCTTTCAACCTTTTTTAACCTTTAATAGCACAGTCTACAGACAGAGGTTCTAAATGTAAATGCCCTCAGTGGTTACCAGGTGAGTTAAATGGGAGAAGCAACAAGGCACAAGACCATAGAGAACAGTTAAAATATGAAAAACTGAAGAGCATTCCATGCCCAAAGATAATCAAAGGCAGAAGAACAAAACAAGACTCCATAACAACTCTATGCTGCATTCAGAGCAGCCAGCTGTGACCTCTGGTGTATAGCACCTCATCCCTAGTTTATTTTTCATTCTGCCACTCATAGTTTAACTGCTCAGATTTGCCATGTTTGTTTAGTAGGGGACCTGGCCAGTCCTCTCATTGATTGACTTTAGTCCAACCTCAGTGGAAAGTCCTTTAGATTTAGGACTCATTTTTCTTGGCATTGAGATTCAAAAACTGAGGCTCTGAAACAAAATGGGATCTTGCAGATTCTCTTTTGGCTCCCTTAGTCTAATCCCGTTTAATTTGATCCTCCTCCTGATTTTTAGAGGAAAATCATGCAGCCCACACAGTATTTCTCACCATTTCTACACAGTTCATATTTTAATCACAACCATAAGAATTTTACATGATGACACATTCTGGAAATTAAAGTTACAATAGAAAATAAGCTATCTTTATGATCTTGAAGCCTAGTTTGGTTCCAATTAAACAGATGATCAAGTGGAAACACTTCTTGACCTACATTCTTCAATCTTTATACAAGAATCATAAATAATTACTACTAAACTTTCAATGATACTGAGGGCCTCTAAAGAGTTATTAAACTGAGATGTTATAAAACGGATGTAACTGTAGTGTTGCTTGTTTCAGAAACTTAAACAAGCATTCAGATTTAGAATCCAAAAAGTTTACAAACAATTTATGTACGCAACCCAACTTCTCATTTTAGCACTTTAGAAGACGGAGGCCAACAAAATAACCAAGACTGCATAGTCAGTAGCAAAAGAACTTCGGGTCCAACATTTCATATTCATTATCCTAAATATCCTATTTAATGTGAACATTCACACATTTGTATAAAAATGTTAATGTGTCTAGTTGTGGGGTGCTGTTCCAGATACCACTGGTGTATTAAGTAACACAGGTCACATGCTCTACATCACATTTCTAAAAATCTGAAAAATTCAAAATACATCTGGTCCCACATATTTCAGATGAGGGATTAAGAAACTGTACTAAAACAAACATTTCCTGATTCCCAAACAAGTACATGTCAGCTAGGCTATTTAAATTTTATGCTTACCAGTAAGAAATTCAGTGGCTACTTCAGCATGTAGTTAAAGGACTTTTGGCTGAATAATTGCCACTTGAACAGAATATTTCATGTTCAATAATTTGAGACCACTTAGTTTTAGAAATTATTTGATGCTCACATTATGTGACATTTTAGAAATTGCTTATGAGTGTCATCAAAATGTGAAGCCTTTCAGCACAACTTGTACAAGGAAAGGTCATGGAAGCTCCATGGACACATCCAAACTCCCTGAGGGACTGAATTGCTGGGCAGAGGGCTGTGGGGACCATGGTCTCGGGGAACATCTAGCTCAACTGGCATAACACAGTTTATAAAGACAATGTTCTACATTCTACCTTGGTGAGTAGCATCTCAGGTCTTAAGAGCCTATGAGCAGCCATGTAAGATACTCCACTGGTCTCACCCCTGAGGAAGCAAGAGAAAATGAAGAGAACAGGATACAAGGAAAAGATTAGTCCAAAGGACTAACGGACCACGGCTGCCAAGGCCTCCACCAGACTGAGTCCAGTACAGCTAGATGGTGCCCAGTTACCACCACTGACTGCTCTGACCGGAATCACAACAGACGGTCCTGGACAGAGCTGGAGAAGGAAGTAGAACAAAATTCTAACACACAA